CAATAAAGAAAACGAGTTTTGTTCAAATGTGATTGGTATGATACAACACTTGGTATCGATACACGAGTTCATGATCATTATGGACTAGTTGAGGTTCATAGTCGTAGGTATTCAAATAGATCCGATCCATTCATACTAGGATCACAAGCGCATCGGGTGTATTATGTAACATATCCTACATGTAAACGCATACGACAAGGCTGGTTGGCGATATGTAAGGTTAAGCCAAGGCCTACGGTTGATGTGCCGAAATGTTTGTTACGGTCGATCAAACCAATATCGAACCCTTTCAAGAAAATGAAATAGAAGGTCAACACAATCTCATGCACATTGATGATGATGAAGGTCGGTCATTGATTGATCATACCGGAGCATTATTAGAATTGGACGGTGATGAAATAGATATTCAAAATAAATCGAAGTTAGAAACCGATGTTGAAGAAGACTTAGATGAAGAATGTGACAATGATTATAATGATAGTGATTAGAAATAATATGATATATCCCATTGGATTATGTTATATTGTATTTTTTATTCAATTCATAAATTATGCACTTGGATTTTATGTAATTGTTGTTCGAATTTAAGGATTTAGGCAACCTTGTCCTCCCGAGGATGTTGGGATAGAGTTGGTTTTGTCCCCCCAAGTGTAATTTTTCAAACTATTTTAATAAATCTCCGAGGTACCGTCCACGTTACTGTCATAATTTTAGGAAAAAATTAGGTTTATTCGTATGTTTACTTACATAGTTAACATATAATTTTTAAAGGTAAGATTTAATTAAATAAATATTTATGATTTATTGTTGTTTAGTATAAATCAATTAGTTCATATTAATTTGAATGTTATATGTAAGTATATATTCATTATATAATTCATATTTTATTTAACAATTATTGACTTTAATAATTAATATGTACGTAGGTCATAATGACTCGAGGTAGGGGTCGTGGTTCGGATGCGATCGGTCGACGGTGATCATGGACGTCGTAAACACCCTTCTTATTTCGTTCACGGTCGGATGGGTCCCCCACCGGACATGCCTCCGTACCACTTTTTCGATGGCCCCTCCACATCCCGTTCCATGCACTGTCAAGTCTCGGCCGCGACCTTTTGAACCTCCACGTCAACCTCCCTCATATTTTCTATCGTCATTGTTAGTGCCTTCGTCACCACATCGGGATGACCGTTCCGTTCCTCGACACGTTCCACCCTATAATGTCCGCGTCAATCGGCTCGAGCCAATAACATACTGCGGTTGACCATCGAGTGTAGGTCATTATTGTTGGGCGCAATGAGTACGGTTTATGCTTCATTTAATTAAAAAAAATTTTGGTTACCGTTATTATCTACTCTGTTATTTATGAATTTAATTAATGTTTATTTTTTTGTAGGTTGTATCCTTCGATGTTTGCTCTCGCTCGATCGTTAAGACATTCAAGAGTACGTTCATTCTTCGGGATGGATGTGGAAAAAAATGAATCCGGAGACAAAAGATTTTTCTTGAGAAGAATTTAAGGTTCTAATTTCTAAATTTTATTTGATTAATTATATTATTTAATATTTAATTAAATTGTATAAAATAATATGAAAGTAAAGTTAGTAGTGTATATTATTATTTTTTTGGTAGAAATCATTTAAGTGGGATGATGATTTGAACGAGAGCATAGTTAAGAAAGCATGGGAAAGTCTCACACGGAAACGATATTCGACTTCTTTGTCGGCTAAGGAAAAAACCGAAGCCGGCATATATCTCACGGGAAATATGAGATGCATGGACTACGGAATGGACGAAACCGAGGCCGTTGCTCGATGCGAGATGGCGACACGGAGCCAGTAGGAGTGAGGCCCGATGGAGTCGGAGCGCGCTCCTTCAGACATACGGAGGGATCAATCGGCTATACAAAGCACGCCATACGCATGGTAAAAAATATATATTATTTAATTTATTTATAATTTTTTAAAAAAATAATACCTAAAATAATTAATTAAACATTTGACTATATTTAATACATTTACGTTTATTTATATATATTTTCGGCGTAATGTGTTAGGTCGTGAACACGATCCTCACGAGATTTTCTTGAGGACTTATCGGAGAATGGTTAATGATCAATTAGTCTTCGTCGATCAACGGTCGAGGGTTATCGGAGTAAGTGATAAATTTGAAACATTATTTAATATACGTTAGTTAATAACGTTATTTGACAACCGTATTTGATGTGACGTGTTTCATAATTATACGAGAGGCCGTACAAAGATTAATTAATGAGGAAGAGGTTGCTAGCCAGACGGTCGAAAGGGACCGAAGCGACCGCACCCGACATTAATGACATCTTTCAAAGGGCCGTTAGTGGAGGAGACGAGTAGGAGGAAGAGGATGTACGGACTCGGCTCATATGCATCTCGGTATTATTCAAATGTCAATGCGGGCTCATCTTCTGCTACTTCCGGATTCAATGCGGTGACGAGGCATAGTTGAAGGAAATTCAAGAGCAAACATCTGCAAACACAATGCACATCCACAACTTAGAGGGTACTGTGAGCGGCTACGGGGCCAAGTGGCATCGTTGTTGGATACCACGATTGAGTTGAGAAACAATAGTCTAGAGCGGTTTACGATGATGTCACGGATGCGGCGAGATGTTCATGCGGCATTTTGAGCGTGGTGGTAGTTCATCCGCCGTTCACGAGATCAACAACGACTCGACCCGGCCTCCGAGACGACTCCACCCGACCTCCGACCGATCCTAAACATTAACTTATTTTAGATTTTATGTTTTCTTGTATTAACTCGCAAATGATGTACTTGTTTTTTATTTAACAATAATGTAATTATTTAGCGATGTTTTAATAAATTTTGAATAATAAAAATTTACGTTTACGATATTTTACGAGATTTTTGCTACTTTAAAATTGTTACTTTGACCTCATTTTATTATTGTTTTAAATAAATTTATTTTTTTTAATTAGCGACGGTCTTAGAAAAGGTCCGGACCGTTGCTAAAAATAAAATATTACCAACGGTCCGCACCGTTACCAAATTGACCGTTGCCAACTATTTAGCAACGGTCTAATCTGTCGCTATTTAGCAACGGTCATACCAAGGGTTTACGGAACCGTCGCTAATGTCCTAACTGTTTACATCGACATTTAGCGACGGAATAGCAACGTTTTAGACCGTCGCTAATTTCGCAACGGTTACTTGATCGTCACAAAATCGTTGCTAAAACGTTTTAGCAACGGCTTTTTTATTTAGCGACGGGTTTGCCCGTCACTAAATCCCATTTATCCGGTAGTATTAGATGATATATGTATATTAGACAACATTTTTTTTTTAATTTTTAATTTTAAAGAATTTTAAAGTTTAGAACAGAACTTGAAACTTAATTAATGAGATTTCTAAACTTTAATACAAATTTTCTAAGTAATGAAAACCTAAGGATTGATGTAAAAGGTCTTTTATATATATATAAGAACTTACTAATGGTCTATAATTTTTCTTGTAAATTATGGTGACCCGGATGATATGGAGGAGGAAGAGGAGGAGAACGGGAGAGCAAGGAGAGCCGGAAGCCCATAGAAGAAGAAAATCGAGAACCAGTTTCCTTAATTTGCTAAACGGATTGAAATTTTTTTTACATGTCAGCCAATTTCGATTTTTTGTTTCGTTTGATAAGAATTTAAAAGGAAAAAGTCACAAATGGTTGCCATAAATTAAGAAATTATATTCTTAACATTTTATTAAACCATTATCTAGTGGTCGTGAGATTTATTTTATCTTTGAATTAAGCCAAAATTTTAAGTTTGTAATTACTGAGATGATTAGATAAAAAAATAATGCAAAATTGTTTAATTATTATAATATATCTAATTATAAATAACCGATCCAATGCACCCATTGATCTGTTTGTCATCAGATATCTTCACACATCTTATGTTTTCAGGTCCTTCTTCGTGTTAATCATTTTCTTCTGATCATAAAGCATATGAATTGGCTTATGTTGGTTCGTTTATTTATTATCTTTGTGCTAGTCTTTTGCCAATTATTAGTCTGCCCATCCACGCGTATGGAGTATACACGAGGAAGCAGAAAATTTAGATCAACTCTTAGTGGTGTCGCTAGTGGCAAATCGTCTCAAATATTCTTTCAGCAGTGTCCTTTGTTAATTTTTTATTTTATTTTTATTTCATCATGTTAAGAATAATTTACTGTATTGAATAGAAATTTTAAATACTAAATTTATTTCAAAAGATAAAATAAAAACAATTTATAAATTTTACATTACCAGCAAAATAATTATCATAACTCGAAATTATGACCAGGAAAAAGTATAGAAAATATAAAGAACCAATAGATACTTAATTTGATTATTTGAACGAAAAAAAAACAAGTAAATATAATTTTGGAACATTTACAATATAAAATAACTACACATCGTTCAAATGTTAAAAAACTTAGTTATCTAATTTTATTAATTATATTGAAATGCAAGGGAAAAGAGATATTTTTGCATGATCTAATGCTGAACCATTTTAAAGAAGGAAGAAAATGCGAAGAGGTGCAGTAGACTATAATGGAGCCCTTTTCAAGCTAGAGCTTCCATTGTATAGAGCATAAAAGGCTAGAAAATTCCGAACCTACTACTACACAACACATCATAGGAGGAATCCATCAGTCCCATAAATTTCTAAAGTTGGAAAGTTTTTAACAGAGATTCTTCTTTTGCTGCCGCTCTCCAAATTGTCATTTCAACCACTCACTTTATTCTCTTTTGCTTGCCTTCCATCTATTTATTGAACCTCAAATCTACCTTCCTCTTTGTACCAAAACTTCTTTATTTCCAGCTCTTCAATTCATCTCTACGCTCAAACAAGATGATCACAACTGATCAACATATTGCAACCCCTCCTAGTTTCCTCGTTAGCTGTTTCTGTTTCTTGCTTCTCCTTAACTGTTTTTGTTCTTCTCAGAAGACTTGTCCCAGCTGTGGTTCAATGCAAGTTCCATATCCTTTGAGCACAAATCCCAATTGTGGTGATCCAAACTATCATCTTCGCTGCGATTCCCATTCTCAGAAACTTTATTTTGATGCCATGAATGGAAGTTCTTACCTTGTACTGAGGATCATGGCCTCATTCCAGAGCATGGTGGTGCAACCATCACCATGGGTGTCGTCTACCTCGTGTGTTACTCAAGACATGGTAGTGAGCGAGGGCCTGCGATTAAACCGGACACTCCCTTTTAATCTCACTTTCTCTAACACTATCTTTCTTTTCAACTGTTCACCTCGGCTCTTGCTCACTCCTCTCAACTGCACTCCTTCCAGCCTCTGTCATCGCTACTTGGAGAGCTCAGGACACGTTGACAAGAATCGAGCACTGAAGTGTGCTAGCAATCCTGATCTCAACCCCTGCTGCACCTTTGTTGCGGGAGGAATGCCCTCAGCGTACAGGATTCGGCTTCACAATTCAGGTTGTAAAGCCTTAAGAAGCATCCTTAATTTGGATCCTGAAAAACCTGCAAGTCAATGGGAAGAGGGACTGGAAATTCAATGGGCTTCTCCACCAGAACCTGTCTGTAACTCACAGCTTGATTGTTCCGGAGCCTCAAAGTGTTCACCTGCTGGAATGAATGGCCTGTCTCGCTGCCTTTGTAACGGGGGGTATTACTGGGACCATGTTCATGGAACTTGCAAGAAAGATAAGCATAAATCGAAAGCTGCCGGCCTTCTGAGTTTAAAGGTCTCAATAGGGGTGATCTCCTTTCTGTCTCTTGGAGCAGTAATGATTGTGATTTTTGTACGCAAGTCCTCGAAGCGTTTTAATCGAGCAAAGCTTGCCAAGGCAAGAGAAGACATGTTAAAATCAGGCGACAGTGGGAAAAATGCAAGGATGTTCCAGTTGAAAGAGGTAAAGAAAGCAACAAATGGTTTCTCTGCAGATAGGATTTTGGGGAGTGGTGGATTTGGAGAAGTCTATAAAGGTGATCTTCAAGATGGAACTGTGGTGGCCGTTAAGTCAGCCAAAGTAGGAAACCTCAAAAGCAACCAACAAGTTCTCAATGAAGTTGGAATACTTTCACAAGTCAATCACAAGAACTTGGTTAGACTCTTGGGTTGCTGTGTGGAAGGTGATCAACCTTTGATGATCTATGAATACATTTCTAATGGGACACTCTATGATCATTTACATGGGAATTGCTCCGGTACCTTTCTGGGTTGGAGAGAAAGGTTGAGAATTGCTTCGCAAACCGCCGAAGCATTGGCCTATTTGCATTCTGGGACCTACACTCCTATATATCATAGAGATGTCAAGTCAACAAATATACTGCTAGATGATGAATTCCATGCTAAAGTCTCAGATTTTGGGCTCTCTAGACTTGCTCGTCCAGGGCTAAGCCATGTTTCGACTTGTGCTCAAGGAACATTAGGTTACTTGGATCCTGAGTACTATCGAAACTACCAGTTAAATGACAAAAGTGATGTTTATAGTTATGGGGTTGTGTTGCTAGAGCTTCTCACTTCTCAAAAGGCCATTGACTTCTCACGAGATCAAGATGATGTGAACCTCGCTATTTATGTGAGCCAAGCAGCCAAAAATGGTGCAATCATGGAGGTTGTAGATCAACGGCTAATTGGCACGGAGCCATCGAGTAATGTACTAAACAGTGTACAACTCTTCTCAGAGCTCGCCTTTGCATGTCTGAGGGAGAAGAAAGCAGATAGGCCTAGCATGAGAGAAGTTGTTCAACAGCTTGAATGCATAGTCCAAATAGTGGAGGAAAATTAATTAAGATTCTGAATTATGAGGATTGAATTGGAATTAATGCATGCTTTTTAGAGTAATTGACTATGAGAATCTGCTGCTATTGGTACGTGTATTGGTCTTTGAATATTCATATATAGGAAAGAAAAAGGTGTGGCTGTGATCAGAATGTGGTTGAAATGATGGCAAGAATGACTCTAATCTTAAGCCAAAGTGATTCCAAGGATTTATCTAAGTGGGCGGAAAGGCATGAAGGAAAAAGTAAAAAAAGAAAAAAAAGGAGGAAGGATCTGATGCTTGCTTTGTGTCCAAAGTATGGAATGATCCATAAGACAAGGACTTCCAGATATGGGCTATAGCTGATTGGAATCTGTTGGAATTTAGTAGGAGGAAAAGCAACCATCTTTTTTTTTTTTTTTTAGATGAGAAAGCATTATTTGCAATAAAATTTTAGGATTACTGCTTTCTAATTGTTTTTCTCAATATTTTTATAATAATGAGCAACAATAATATTTATACATGTGAGTGAGTAGCTCTATATCCATGTATTTTTTAAAACATAACCTTCATATTTATTAAATTTAAATTGGATGGAAATGATTCAATCTATATGTGATAAAAATAATAAAAACTTAATTTATTATTGTTTTATTTCTCTCGCCTAATTCAAGATCAATTGTTAAATATGAAACATAATTAGTTATATTTCTTAAAAAAAAAACATGAAATGAGAGAATCCATTAGTTATATTTCTTAAAAAAAAAAAAAAAACATGAAATGAGAGAATCCAAATCCGACGATCACAAGTCTAAATGAGGAACAAATTTTGCCTTTTGTTTTTCTAATCTTAATTTAATAATTAGATTTTATGCAGAGTAAAATTATTGAGATCTATCCATGGATTTCAAACTAAGTGGTAGTGATTTCTTAAATCTCACTAAAATTAAAGGTCACGTGTTTAATTATAACAAAATTAGAAACACTAGGGCCGTAAGAGGAAGCCAAAATTAGCTCATCATCCTTATTGTGGTGATCAAATTAATTTTATCAGATATTAAGCTTGATTCCTCTTTTTTTATTGACACGAACAGCTAATTATTAATAAAAAAATAAATCTTGAGATCTCTTATAAAGCAAATTAATGATAAGACGGATTTAAAAAAGATAATTAATTAAAAAAAACTAATTAAATGGCATATAATTTAACGACTACCTAGACTGGTTGTTGTCCGTAGACTTTGGTTTTCAAAATTCAAGATTTGCATTTTATTATATTATATTTTTTAATGTTAAACTGGTTCGACGTGGGCTCTCAGCCTTCCATATATAGTCCCATTAACATTCATGCCTGTGGAACTCCAAGAGGCATATCATCAATTAAAATACTGCATTGTGCTATCACTCAGGAAGATTTTTCGTGCGGCTCTTTCATTGGTCAACTCGATATAATAAGGAAAGGAAAATTATTGGAAAAAAATATATGTTATTCAGATTTGATCAAGATAACGAATCAAATCAATAAAACTATTATAAATAATTAAATTGTTTAAATCATCTGTTCAATAAATCACATTTAAAATATTATTATGAAATAATAAATAGTCATATCAATATTCATATTCTTTTCATATCTTCACTTGTTCATAATTTTTAATATGATTCAATTAATCATTTAATATAAAAATTAAAAGGAAGATATAATTGATTTAATAATTTATATATTTTTAATTATTTATAGTTTATTCTAATTCTCTTTATAATTTGAAAGCCCATAAATAAGTTTGTTTGTTTATTAGTTTGTGTATAAGTATTTTGTAGAGATTGAGAGAATAATTTAAAATTATTATCACTTGTATTCGCTTTATTTTATAGTGAATTCATTTCTCTATCATCTTTCTTTTCAATTCTACTATTATTATCATTTCTTTTATAACACATTATTAGCACAATTGCTCTACCAAAAGATGTAAAGCATCTAAACTATGAAGAGGTATGTATCTAATTTATTTTTTATTTTAAAAATAATTACACATATAGTATATGTTTGAAAAACTTGAATGATCTAATATATATTCTAATAATCTAATGTATGTAGTTTGAAAATTTTGAATTTTATTATTATGTTTGTTTTTATTTTCTAACATTATTATTATATCTTGTATTATAGAATTTCTATCATGTCAAACCCCACAAAACTTGATTTTGTAGCCCTTGACATTTCGGACAAGAATTATTTATCATGGGTGCTTGATGCTAAGATACATTTAAATGCTAATAGTCTTAGACAAACAATCATGGATGATAATCAAGAATCTTTGCAAAATCATGCTAAGGCACTAATCTTCTTTCATCATTATCTCCATGAGGATTTAAAAAATAAATATTTAATAGTAAAGGATCCACTTGAACTCGTGAAAAAAATTAAAGGAAAGGTACAAGCACCAAAAGACGGTAATTCTTTCAAAAACTCATTATGATTGGATGTACTTAAGATTACAAGATTTCAAAACATCGAGTATAGTTACGTAGTATTTAGAACCAGTTTCAAACTAAAATTGTATGAAAAAAATATTATTAATTCGGATATGTTAGAGAAAACATTCTCTACTTTTCATGCCTAGAATATTTTTTTGCGACGACAATATCAAATTTTTTTTTTTAAGAAATACTCGAATTGATTTCATGTTTACTTGTGGCTGAACAAAATAACGAGCTATTGATGAAAAATCATAGATCCTATTTAACTAGGTATACTCAATTTCAAATGTGAGATCTTATAATAATTTTAGGCGTGGATGTGGACGTGATCGTGGTAATATCTATAGTCGTGGTTGGAATAATTATAGTTATAATTGAAGTGATCATAATAATACACTTCATCATTAGAAGTGGATAAATTATGAAAAGAAATAAGAAAAAAAAAGTGAATCAAGTCGGCATTTCAAAAATGAATGTTATAGATGTGGTATGAAAGGACATTAGTCGAGTACTCGTTGCACGCTAAAGCACCTCGTTAAACTTTATCAAGTCTCGTTGAAAAAGAAAGAAAGTAATGTCATAACCAAAATTTCAAAATTCTTTATTTTTAATTGATTATTTGTTTTCTTTTATTTTAAGTTTTTTGTATTTATTATTTATTTTTCTTATCTTAATCAATGTTATTATTTTTATTTATTCCATTTTTCTTAATAATGTGCAAAATGAAAAAAAAATACAAAAACAAAGTGAATTTAATATTCGGGGATGCAATTGTAATAAATTCAAAAGTATTATAATAATTGAGGATTCAATCGAATCATTTTAAAATTCAAGAGCCAGATTACATTGGACGAGGACCAAATTGACCTAATAACAATTTACGGTGACCAAAATACAAAAAAAAACAAAAAAAATTACAAAAAAAAAAAATACAAAGTTTGCACCTCCTCGCCTCGAACTAATTTACGGGATTATTTTTCTCCTGCTTCACGGATTCATTTTTAGTTTCAATTGCGGGAACTAATTTATGTGCTCAATTTTGGTCTTGAATTCCAATCCTAGAAAAAATTAATTCCCTCAACTGCAGTTGCCATTTCTCCCTCATCACCCGATCAACAATAGCGGCACCCCCACTGCCGGCCTCACTCGTTTCTGCTGCAACTCCCACGGTCCCTCCGGACCACTTCCCCCGATTCCTGCAGACCTCGCCATGTTGCAACTGGCGACAGCTGCACGGCCCTTCTCCCTATTACCGGCCATGCCACAACCATCCCCTACAACCCAAATGGTCTCACACGCCCACTCTATATCCTGCAAAAAAAAATCTCACACCATCATGGTGGAGAACCAAGCCGGTATTCACACACACACACACACACACACACATATACACGACGGCATCAAATAAAAAAAAAAAGGGAGAGGGGGAAGGAAAATTCAATCCGAAAATTAAAAGAGGGCGGTAAGTAAAACAATTAAGAGCCTTAAATTGAAAAAAAAAAGAGGAAATCGAGTGGCCAAAAAAAAATTCGAGAAGAGGGAAAAAGATTACCCCAATTGAAGTCGCAATTCATACCCGTTTTCATCAACCCTTCTAGGTAATACCATTTAATTTCTTGTTGATTTCGGTTTTGACAAAAGTTAGGTTTGTGTTTTGAAATTTGGGGATTTTTGAATTTGGTTACGAATTAAGTTCGGGAATGACAAATTAAACCTAATTGAAGGCAATTGCGGTTTCAATTTGGGGTTTAAACCCCAAATTGAAACCGAATTGATGTCAATTTAAATGTAGGATTCTTGATAATTTTTTGAACAAATTGATTTGGGGGTTTTTTAAATTTTGAGTCCTAAGGGTTTGAATTGACTTGATTTCACTTGAAATCAAGTCAATTAGGTCTAATTGAAAGAAAATTTGAAAGAAAAATCAAAACTCGAGTTCGGCCAATTAGGGATTTTTTTTAAAAAAAAATTGATTTGGGGCTTTTCGATCTAGAGCTTTGGTTATTGGGATGGACTGAAATTTTAGTCCGAGTCCGCAAATAAAAAAAAGGGAAGAGAAATTCGGGTCTGGACGAGTCTAGCCCAAACCCAAAAAAAAAAAAAAAAAAAGTAAGAAAAAAGAGTGAATTTTTTTTAGGGATTTTGTTATTTCGTATTAAAATTAGCTATTGAATTCTTTTTATTATTTTAATTAATGTAATTTTTAATCTGGAATTTATTTTATGCATGCTCGTTACTAATTTAAATTTCAGTATTTGATTTCTTTTATTTAATTCATGTAGCTTTAATTTACTTGCTTAGAATTAAGCTCGGTAAGTAATAAGTAGAAGATCGTCAAGTCTCCTAAATTTTTAGGGATCGATGACGATCTTTCATGTAAAAAAAAAAAAAAAGGGAGAGAAAATAAAAAATAGTATTTATGTATGTTAGTTAGAATTTGTCATTTTAATATTTTGTAATTGTTTGAATTTACCCTTAAATTTATTTTATGCATACCTATTATTAATTTAAATTTCGGTATTTGATTTTTTATTCGTGTAGCTTTA